TCGAACATGAAAATGGCATACAATTTTGACCCTCTCAAAATTGAAATGTTTTAATGTAGAACAAAAAGAAATTCAACCACAATTTCAAAAAGGTATGCCACTTCTAAATCGGAATTGAAATACCAAAGTTTTGAAAGTTAGAAGTGCAGTTTTGGGTCCCCATTCTGAAAGCCCCTGGAAATACGGAAAATTTGAACATGAAAATGGGTTCAAATTTGAACCCTCGCAAAATTGAAACATTTTAATGTAGAATATAAGAGAATTCAACCACAATTTTAAAAAGGTATGCCACTTCTAAATCGGAATTGAAATACCCAAGTTATGAAAGTTAGAAGTGCAGTTTTGGGTCCCCATTCTGAAGGCCCCCTGGAAATATGGAAAATTTGAACATGAAAATGGGTTCAAATTTGAACCCTCGCAAAATCGAAACATTCAAATGTAGAATATAAGAGAATTCAACCACAATTTCAAAAAGGTATGCCACTTCTAAATCGGCATTGAATTACCCAAGTTATGAGAGTAGAAGTGCAGTTTTGGGTCCCCATTCTGAAAGCCCCCTGGAAATACGGAAAATTTGAACATGAAAATGGGTTCAAATTTGAACCCTTGCAAAACTTAAATATTTTAATGTAGAATAAAAGAGAATTCAACCACAATTTCAAAAAGGTATGCCACTTCTAAATCGGAATTGAAATACCCAAGTTATGAAAGTTAGAAGTGCAGTTTTGGGTCCCCATTCTGAAGGCCTCCTGGAAATATGGAAAATTTGAACATGAAAATGGGTTCAAATTTGAACCCTCGCAAAATCGAAACATTCAAATGTAGAATATAAGAGAATTCAACCACAATTTCAAAAAGGTATGCCACTTCTAAATCGGCATTGAATTACCCAAGTTATGAAAGTAGAAGGGCAGTTTTGGGTCCCCATTCTGAAAGCCCCCTGGAAATACGGAAAATTTGAACATAAAAATGGGTTCAAATTTGAACCCTCGCAAAATTGAAACATTTAAATGTAGAATATAAGAGAATTCAACCACAATTTCAAAAAGGTATGCCACTTCTAAATCGGCAATGAATTACCCAAGTTATGAAAGTAGAAGTGCAGTTTTGGGTCCCCATTCTGAAAGCCCCCTGGAAATATGGAAAATTTGAACATGAAAATGGGTTCAAATTTCAACCCTCGCAAAATTGAAACATTTTAATGTAGACTATAAAAGAATTCAACCACAATTTCAAAAAGGTATGCCACTTCTAAATCGGAATGTAAATACCCAAGTTACGAAAGTTAGAAGTACAGTTTTGGGTCCCCATTCTGAAAGCCCGCTGGAAATACGGAAAGTTCGAACATGAAAATGGGTTCAAATTTGAACCCTCGCAAAATTGAAACATTTTTATGTAGAATATAAGAGAATTCAACCACAATTTCAAGAAGGTATGCCACTTCTAAATCGGAATTGAAATACCCAAGTTATGAAAGTTAGAAGTGCAGTTTTGGGTCCCCATTCTGAAAGCTTCCTGGAAATACGGAAAATTTGAACATGAAAATGGGTTCAAATTTGAACCCTCGCAAAATTGAAACATTTTAATGTAGAATATAAGAGAATTCAACCACAATTTCAAAAAGGTATGCCACTTCTAAATCGGAACTGAAATACCCAAGTTATGAAAGTTAGAAGTGCAGTTTTGGGTCCCCATTCTGAGCCCCCTGGAAATACGGAAAATTCGAACATGAAAATGGCATACAATTTTGACCCTCTCAAAATTGAAATGTTTTAATGTAGAACAAAAAGAAATTCAACCACAATTTCAAAAAGGTATGCCACTTCTAAATCGGAATTGAAATACCAAAGTTTTGAAAGTTAGAAGTGCAGTTTTGGGTCCCCATTCTGAAAGCCTCCTGGAAATACGGAAAACTTGAACATGAAAATGGGTTCAAATTTGAACCTTCGCAAATTTGAAACATTTAAATGTAGAATATAAGAGAATTCAACCACAATTTCAAAAAGGTATGCCACTTCTAAATCGGAATTGAAATACCCAAGTTATGAAAGTAAGAAGTACAGTTTTGGGTCCCCATTCTGAAAGACCCCTGGAAATACGGAAAATTTGAACATGAAAATGGGTTCAAATTTTGACCCTCGCAAAATTGAAACATTTAAATGTAGACTATAAGAGAATTCAACCACAATTTCAAACAGGTATGCCACTTCTAAATCGGAATTGAAATACCCAAGTTATGAGAGTAGAAGTGCAGTTTTGGGTCCCCATTCTGAAAGCCCCCTGGAAATACGGAAAATTTGAACATGAAAATGGGTTCAAATTTGAACCCTTGCAAAACTTAAATATTTTAATGTAGAATAAAAGAGAATTCAACCACAATTTCAAAAAGGTATGCGACTTCTAAATCGGAATTGAAATACCCAAGTTATGAAAGTTAGAAGTGCAGTTTTGGGTCCCCATTCTGAAGGCCCCCTGGAAATATGGAAAATTTGAACATGAAAATGGGTTCAAATTTGAACCCTCGCAAAATTGAAACATTTAAATGTAGAATATTAGAGAATTCGAACACAATTTCAAAAAGGTATGCCACTTCTAAATCGGAATTGAAATACCCAAGTTATGAAAGTTAGAAGTGTAGTTTTGGGTCCCCATTCTGAAGGCCCCCCGGAAATATGGAAAATTTGGACATGAAAATGGGTTCAAATTTGAACCCTCGCAAAATTGAAACATTTAAATGTAGAATATAAGAGAATTTAACCACAATTTCAAAAAGGTATGCCACTTCTAAATCGGCATTGAATTACCCAAGTTATGAAAGTAGAAGTGCAGTTTTGGGTCCCCATTCTGAAAGCCCCCTGGAAATACGGAAAATTTGAACATGAAAATGGGTTCAAATTTGAACCCTCGCAAAATTGAAACATTTAAATGTAGACTATAAGAGAATTTAACCACAATTTCAAAAAGGTATGCCACTTCTAAATCGGAATCCAAATAACCAAGTTATGAAGGTTAGAAGTTCAGTTTTGGGTCCCCATTCTGAAAGCCCCCTGGAAATACGGAAAATTTGAACATGAAAATGGGTTCAAATTTGAACCCTCGCAAAATTGAAACATTTAAATGTAGAATATAAGAGAATTCAACCACAATTTCAAAAAGGTATGCCACTTCTAAATCGGCATTGAATTACCCAAGTTATGAAAGATAGAAGTGCAGTTTTCGGACCCCACTCTGAAAGCCCTTGGAAATACGGAAAATTCGAACATGAAAATGGGTTCAAATTTGAACCCTCGCAAAATTGAAACATTTTAATGTAGAATAAAGAGAATTCAATAACAATTTCAAAAAAGGATGCCACTTCTAAATCGGAACCCATTTACCCAAGTTATAAGAGTTAGAAAAATCCTATAAAATCGAAAAAGAAAACATTTTTAATTTATATAATTATGATTCTCTTGTCTAAAAATCTGCGTAGATATTCCATATGCAATCCCTTCCGCTTCATGGTTGACATTTAACCAATTCGCAGCCAAAAATTTAATTGAATTCGAAGCGGAAATAGCACCGTTAGGCCTCGATCGGAGCCACAAGACATATAATTTAATTTGTACGCACTGTGGCGCGCTTCCCAGCGCCAACATTGACACACTTTGGGTGGTCTTGGCGCGCTGACTTAATTTTGGCAAGCCGGCGAGGGAGAAAACCTAAAGCCAAAAAATAAAAGAAGCCAAAACCAAGAGAATAAACCGAAAGTCCAACCGCACTCACGTCCAATTCGAGGCGAGTAATCGATGAGACGTGCGATGGCAGCCCAGAAACAGAGGTGCATGCATGCCACCTGTTGAAAGGGCGCAGCCGGAGTGAAATGTCTTCGGGTCTCCGTCTCCGTCTCCGCCTCCGTCTCCGGACGACGCACTGCATCATTTGCAGCTGAAATTTCAATTTCAGCCTTTTGGCAGCATTTCAAAAGAGCGGCTGACTTCGGCCGGTCGTCGAAACTCAAGTAGACGGCGGGCGCCAAGGCGCCAGCTAAAAATTTGCCAGCGAACGGCATTAAAGTGCGCGAAAATCTCATTTTATTTCTATTTTATTTATTGAGCCATTAGAGAGAGGGGTGCAGGAGTTTGGCTGTCAGCTCATTCACAGATTAATTTTGGCAATTTATAGCCGGCGAGATAGTTTTTGAGTAACTGCATCATGGACATATTCGCAACATGGAGTGCGCAGACCGTGAGTTATGTAATGAGCGGGAAGGGAAAATGAGGAAGGGGAGGGACGCCCGATCGCCAATTTGACTCCCATGTTGGCGACAGACTAACAGAAATGTCACGATACCCTGGGAAAATGAGCCGTCGTCCAGAGTGAGTTATTGATTGGTATTGGGGGGAGTTGGGCCACTATGGTAGATTTTTAACCATTAAAAATATTTCGGCTAAATGCAATAGCTTAAATAGTTGATTGACACCAAACATGGAGTGCATTTTTCTTTCGAGTGTACAACTTAATTACAATTTTTGATAGTCATATGAATATATATATGAATATATACTCAATTGCATTTATTTATTTTGTAGGAAATATTTTAGATTCTCGTTAGAAATTAATATTTTTTATAAAAAATATGGGAAAATTTTTACAAAATATCAAGAATTATTATATTGAAATAAATATTTTTTTAGTCAGTAGCGTTTTCTTATTTTTTTTAAAGGGGACTGAGATGGTATAGAAGAAAAGAAAAACTCTAGCCATATAAAAAACACATATAAAGTTATTATGCGAATTAATACACTTATAAGCGTTTGGATATCTTTAAGATAACTTAACAAGATCATATCACATTTAGATTGAGATGTATCATCTACTATGTGAATATTGATTTTATAAAATCTGATAAAACTATCCTATCTTTAAGGATAACATTTTTTAAAATTTTTTAATTTAGCTAAATATTTCTGCTGAGTCATTGGCACTTGATGGCCAAGTTTTAATGAGGGACGACTCACCTGTGCCATTGCTGCCGAACCAGAGGGCAACTAGGTCCTCACTCGGCGGCGTATGGTGGTGATAGGGATTGCCGTACAAATAGGGACTCGGGTAATCGAGCAGGACACGACGCGAGCCGGGCGACGAGGACTCGGCTGGAGGGGTCAAATGATATTGGAGTAATAATGGTGGATGGTTATAAAGTGGCTGGTGCTTTCGAGTCCTTACCCTGAGCTAATTGTGCAGCGTATTCGGTGGCCTTTTGCAGATTAATTCGCGGTCGCGGCTTGGCAAGAATTTGCTGTTGTTGCTGCTGCTGCTGCTGCGGTGGCACCACAGTATTTTGCTGTTGTTGCTGCGGATGTTGTTGAATGGATTGTTCAGTTGTCGGGGGATTATTTGCAGCCGCTGCTGCTGCTGCCGATGAATCCAACAGCAATTGTTGAACCTGCAATATGTCTACGTATTCATCCAATTCCACCGAGGGTGGTTGTTGCCCCGAAGTAGTTGCCTCAGTGGGTGGTGGTGGTGGTGCAGCACTTGCAGTCTGATAATAGCCGAAAGTGGGTCCAGAAGCTGGGGCACTTTGCACCGCAATGGGTGGTGCGGGTGGTGGGGCAAATTGCAGCGGATTCCGACTAAGACCCAATAAAGGTGTTGTGGGTGTATTCAGAGAATCCTGTGCTGGGGCTGCCGTGGAATTTGCCGTTGCCGGTGGCACTAAGCTGAGATTTTGTCCAGGTAAACCAGGTGGGTTTGTGGCACCTGTCACTGCTGCAACTGATGATGTTGTGGAACTCGCCGATGGATGCTGTTGTTGGCTGCCTACAATCAGTTCATTTTGACGCCGCATTGTCAGCAACATTTTTGTGGTTTGGCGCCTTGCACGTTGATCGATTCGAAAATAAAACAAAATACTTTGAAAACAAAAAATTGAAACACAAACGTATTAACCGAGACTCCATTTGTTTGGTGAGCAATCACTTTGTTGGTTAATTTAAATTCAATTGACACATTTTGTCGTACTTTGTTCACGTTTTTGCTGCGGTCAGCTTGATTGATTTTCACTGTATATTATTTTAAAGATCAAATCAGTCTTGGCCAATTCACTTTGATTGTGTTTTTATTTGATTGAAGTTTTCGCAAAAGCTGAAATATAAAAATAAATATTTGAATTATTTTATGGACAAAAAGTATTAAATTTTTTTTTAAAATGTTAAATATCAAACATAATTTTACCTTTTTTCAATGTATTTTCTTTGATTTGTAAATTCTTGTTTCACCCTTTTAATCTTAAATTTATTTGTATAACACCAAAAACATTCATAAAAATGTTTAGGGTAAATATGCACTACAGTAGATAAACACTCAGATTTTAATAATCACAATATGACACTTAGATTAAGAATTCAATAAGATATATATTTTGTCAAAATTGACCCTCAAAAATACACATTTATATAGATCTCAAAAATGTTGACCAAAAATATGCCCAATATATTTTCACTTTGCCGACGGCAATTTATTTATTTTATATTCGATGCTTTTATTTTTGTTGGCTTCATATTTTTGCCAAAGAAAAACTCTCGGTAATTTTTCACGCTGTTGTTTGGGTTTTTGCTTAATTTTAATAATTATTTTTGAATTCGAAAATGATTTTGATTAATTAGTTTTGGCCTGACGCGCGCGATGTAGTTATTTCGGCGTTTTGTTTTCTTGTGTTCGATTTATTTTGCCAAAAGTTTGCGAGACGAGCCGTTGAGCCGTCGAAACGCTACTGGCGCGAGCGGTGAAAATTGAAAATGAAAATGGGAAACTCGGGCCATCGGTGAAAAAAATCATGAAAACGGCGGCAAATCGGCTGCGTCGGCGTCGGAAGCATCGGAAAATGCCTGAAAATGTGTGTTTAGCTTTTGGCCATCATCTATTTGCCGCCCGAACGCTGCTGTGTCTCTGTCTGCGTGTAACTTTGATTCTTATTTGTACTGAAGCATCTGCTGGCTGAACTCTCGCTCCTGGCCCACACACATTTCTCTCTCTCGTTTTCTCGCCCAATTTCCCCGGCCCATCAGTGTTTGTGTGGGTGAGAGTGAAAACCCGCATTTCCGATTCCGAGCGGAGCAAATGTCAACAATTGTGGGTGGCGAGTGGTTGGGAGCGAGTGTGAGAAGCACTGAGCACACAGGAGATGTTTTGTGGGGGAAAAATGAAAATGCCCAAGCATTCGCGGAGGAAAAGAGCGGAAAATGTGCCACTGAACTTGCCAAAATCTACGTAATAGTTCTGCATTATTGCATGTGTGTATTTCGCAAACGTAATTCGCTTATCAGCGCAGATAAGCCTTTCGATTTTCGGCTTTCACTTTCATGACCATTGGCGTCATCACAGGGCGTATGAGTAATTTATGGTAATTATTCATACGCCTAGTTGTCTCTAAGTAGAGTCCAACTAAGTTAATTCAATGTGGTATTAAAATTAATTAAATAATTTTTAAATCTAATGATTTTCTAAAGTTTCATTAAGGAAAGTTCCTAATTTTTTTACAGTTAGATATTTTATGTAACATGTAAAAATAAAATTTTTAGTTGAGTAAAAATGTTCTAGTGTTTTTTGGTTTGTTAAATAATTGATTTTATGAAAATTAAAATATGTAATGAAACTCATCATTAAATTAATAATGTTTCGAAGGAGGACCTAAATCTTTTTTATTCTTGGAAATCAATCTAAAGCAAGTGAACTTATCAGATGGCCCTTTAACTTGTTGAAGTTCACTTACTTACCGAGAAGAAAACCTGCGCTAGCAAGCTATCACTTATCAACTGACATTTGGCCAAAATGTTGTGGAATTCCTTGAAATCCAAACACTCGAAGGGCCAAAACACCAAAAACTTTGAAAAGCCAAAAAAACAGACAACATGCAAAATGCTAAAACGCCCCCGTTTCGCCGCAAAATGGCAATTAGAGTTGCACAGTGGAAGTTTCGTCCCCGCTATGACATTTAAAGGTTAGAGGTTGCGAGCATCAATCAAAAAAGCAACAACGAAAATGTAGGGTCCTACCCACTCTATTTGCTCTAGGTAAGACAAAAGAGCAATAATATTAATAATCATAATGAAAGGACAGCAGAGACTGGCAGGTGGAAAAACAGGAGGGCGGTGGGCTTAGCCCATTAAGGTTATCCAAGCTGGACCTGTTGATTGCCTGCCTTTATTTCGCAAAAATGCTACACTTGTACTTCAATTTCCTAGTGGAAATCATTTCTGGCGTGGGCGTGTAAGAAAATGCTCGACTAGGATGCTAATAGATGCGATTAAACGCCCACATTGTCAGATACCATTGACTGGGAGACGATGATGAAGTGGAGGGCAGGAGGGCAGCCCAGCTAAACAGCAGAAGCTGCACAGTGGGTTGTGGGTACAGTGGAAAATTCGAATATTTTTATAATCCTACCAAGAACAGGCAAAGAGCTTCAGGAAAGTAAATAACAATGAATGACTATGGCCATATTTAAAAATTAAAAAAAAAAAAATATTTCATTATAAGCTTCATTCAAAAACATTTTTCTATATGAAATTTGGAATTTATAGGTACAATTGTCGTTAAATCAATTTTATTTTTAGACCCAAAATTGGCATCCCTAAAAATTGCAGAAGGGTTTTAAGAAAATTTAAAATTATTGAGTGCCAAGATACTCATAATTTCAAATACGTAAAAGGTTAATTTAATTTTTCAATTAAATGGCTCTACTGATTAGCCCCACTGTGCAGGGAAAGCTAGAAGCCACTCGAACTTTCCACTTGATAAGAGCATAGGGAGCGTAGATACAGGATGCTGGTGCTTTGCCCTTTTGCCAAATGCCTGCCACGTGTGTGGGTTGTCCTGTAGCTGTTGCTCCTGTAGCTGTTGCTCCTGTTGCTGTTGCTCCTGTTGCTCCTTGCTGCCTGTTGTTGGCCAAAAGTTCCCGGTCATATTCGGATATTATATGAATGAGTGGAGAGCAGATTGAGCTTATCAATGAAAAAAGCTCCCGTGACGTTGGGGCTCAACTCGAAATTCATTCATGAGACGTCCCGAGTTCTGTTAATGGAATAGAGAACAGGAACTATGGAAGCTTCCTTGCCATCCGATTGAACTTTGGTATTTGAGGAGTCCTGCTTCCCTTTGGTGAAACATTTCGGGTTCATTTCAAATGTCAGCTGCGACTCCATTTTAACCGTTCAATTTTGCAGGAAGCTTTAGCTGGAACCGTTAAGTCGCAGCGTTTAATTAGCCAGGCAGTTTTAACTTGTTGCAGGAAATTTGCGGGTGCCTATTGCCGGTTGACCTTAAGCAAACAGGCCCCCACACATTTATTTCCGCCCATTCGCAGGAACATGTGTGCGCGACTTTTAACCTTTTAATGTGGCAGGACTAATTGATTTGTTTCAGGCACGTGTCGCTCTCCAGGAGTGGGAAGTCACATCGTGTGGGCCTCGCATGTCAAAGTCTTTACTATCTATCATTCAAAAGTAACTGAATAACAATATCCAATCAGTCAAAAGGCTTTTATAAACGAGATGGCTCTATTATAATGTATTGGTTAAAATTGTTTTCTAAGGAACTTCTTTGTTTCTATTTTAAAGAGCAAATAAAGAAAGAAGTATCTCATTCTTCTTTTTATATACCCTTTCAATGAACTTGAAATAATTTCTGGAAGATTCGATGGTTCCGTTAAAAAAAACCCGGTTTGTTCTGAATTCCAAATGGAGTCTACCTGCCAATGGTTTTTTGGCAATACCTGCTCTAAAGTTTTTAAAGTTTGAAGAATATTTTTTCTGCAAAATGATCTCATTTTTGCATTTCACCTGTTTGTAAAATTATAAACGTGAATACACCGAATACCTTCTACAAGAAATGATTAATTCGTTGTTAAGACATTATATGGTCTATACTCCCCATACCAATAAAATTATTAAGCTTTCCAAATATACCAGGAATTTATTGATATATAAGAAATTAAAACAATATGGCAGTTATAAATTTGGGCGGGGTCCAATTTCCCCGCCATTCATATATGAGAAAGCTTTATTTTCGCCCCAATTAAAGGCCATTAGAGGCCATAACCAACGAGCTTCTTCAAACCGAGAAATCCCCGCCCATCCGTGACCATTAATATACTTGTTTAGATGTCGATGGTGGAAGCCCAGCTACTTACCAGCTATAAAAAGGCAATCAGATGTCGTCGATTCAGAACCAAGACGGCGACAACAGAGCACGCAAGCTAGTCAGAAAGCTAGTCCAAAGAATCAAGATTTGGGCGCGTAAATAGGCAGGATCGTTGGATCGTTGGATCTGCTTTTCCTCAGGAGTTTGCCGGTCGAAAAAGGGAAGCGGGGAAGTGGGGGGATCGCGACTGCGTTTGTAATTAATTACGAGGCGGGCCAAAAGGCGAACGCACGCGCGACTTGCAACCACCACTGCCAACTGCAACTGCAACTTCAGATGGCCAAGGAGCGATAAGATCCGGCTATAGAACGTGGCCAAGTCAAAGGAAGCGACCGAGCTACTGCGATTACGCGAAAGATATATCCACTGGCGGTGTAATCGCGATCTTTTTGGCTTTTGCGAAACTCGTTCCCGGCTTCTTCGCAGATTATGCAATTTTGATTTGAAACACGCAATTTGATGGGCTGGCCAAGATATTGGGTTGGCTATGGGCTATCTTTCGGCTTAATTCGCTTAACGATCTCATGCACAGGGCGCGTAAATCGGTGCTGTATATACCTTCTCCCTTTCGGATTTACTGTGCCAACTTATTAGACGATAATTTCCTTCCGGTTGCGATCCGTTTTTTGCGATTCGACTCGTCGTCCGACTGTCAGCGGTGTAAAAAAATACGGTTTGCTTCGCTTTGCTGCGCTGCCTTGACTGTCTTGCCTCGGTTTCACTGTATCCGTATGATGTATCTGTATCTGTGAATGTATCTTTGGAATTGCAGAGTGTGAGTGCGGCAGTCGTGGGCCGATCATCGCCTTACTTAGAGATCTGTCGCCCAGTCGAGATGCCTCGTCTTAGTAGTGTTGTTGTTGTTACTGCCGTGTGTGGGCACAACTGTACATGCGAACGGGCTAAGATAGCCGTCCCTGTCGCACACATGAGCGGAGGATTGCCGGTGGGGCAAGACAACAACAAACAACGAACAACCAACACCGAACAACAAACAGCAAACACCACAAGCCACACACGCAACCCCCGCAACGCCTCACAAAGTGCTTTTCTCTCTCGCTGAGCTTCTATCGCCCATTATAAGGCTCTAACACCTTTGGATTGCTCTTAAGCCGTTTTCCTACACTTGAAAGAAATCTGGAAATTATAGTCCTTAGGCTGTATATCATCAGGCCGGATTCAGTAATTAGCCAAAACAAACACCTTTTCTAAACATTAAATAATAGTTAAGAATACTGTCAATATCTAGTAATAAAAATCGCAGTCATTCAATGCAATTTGTTCTTACCAATTTTATTGCCTTTTAATAGACCCCTGGAGATTTGCGTCATTTTAAATTCTTAAGAAACTACATGTTTGGAAAATGCAGCAATGCTGTAAGCTTTTCCTAATAATTTTAGTTTCCTTAGAAGGTTTGTCTGTCTAATAGCTTTTTGGCTAAAATGAAGTAAAGTTCACTAAGTTGACGTCAACTTATCGACTTAGACGTTTCAGTTCTCGTAGCACAGTACGGAATCTTTTAAACACTTTTTAAAAATAGAAAAAATAACATTATACAGTTGCTTGTTCAATTCGGTTAGTTATCCCTTACATATATACTTAATTTAAAAGATGTTCTTCAAGTGGTCTTCTATATATATCCAAGGAATCAGTGTAAAGTAAACTTTTAGTACTGGTATAGTATTCTACATTAAGCTATTTTCCAAAAAGTTTTAATTTTTTTGTGTGTATCAGAGCGTGCCAAGTTCTAGTTGTGTGAGTGGTTGTGTGGGCTTTTCCTCAGTCAAAAAGCCCACACACTTAGCCAAGACTGCTGATCTCAACCCTCTCTGAAGATTGGAGCACCTCGCGGCCATTTCGTGCAAGAACCCTTTCTGCAGGATATTTTTGGCATTTGCGTCATTCGTTGCACTTGTGCAAACATAATTTCATCACGCATTTCTGCAGATGCAGTGATTTGCGAGGGTTTTCCATAGAATCGGTTGCAATCAAAATTTATTTATCAATCCTGAAAGCTTTTGCTGGAACGCTGGCCAGCTAAAAATAACACCAACGAAAGCTTACCTGCCGAAAAAAAAGCTTGGCTCCCCTTAGGGAAAGCTCTTGGCATTACAGGGCACCCACACAAATGCACACCCACACAGATACACACACACATCTAGAAAAACAGAGGGGTCGCGTGGGTGTTTTCATTGATAAATTCGTATCTTTACCTCTCGCTCTTTCGGCTGACTGCAAATTGAATTGCAAAACACTGCAGCTGTGCAAGCAGAAAGAGACAGAAGGCTAGAAAGGGTGTGCAGGTGGAGAAAGGGTATGCGAAAGAGATGGAGCTAACGGGAGCGAAAGAGACGGGGACAGCCCCTCTTTGCACTGCTCCACTTTAAATGATGTGGGTGTGGATCAAGCTCGGCATTAGATTGTGAATGAAAACTCGAAAAGAGACAGCGAAACGCGCCGAGAAAGAGACAGAGCATCCAGTTGAAAACGCCCACTAAGCAGCTCTGCACACACACACACAAGCACATTTTAATACTTTGACTTCTAATCATATTCATATTTTACCCCATTCCCCATTCAAAAGCCGACTTCATTCATTCACAAAATGTTTATATATGGAAACTTGTCAATTAGTTCAAGTATCTTACACTGAGCGAAACCTAAGCCCCCAAGTCAAATTAATTATACTTAGCCGAATCGCCCACATGGCCATTTGACATTTGTACTCTTATTAACTGTAATTGCTCATTCAGAATGTGCCACAAACAACAGCAATAACAAAAGCCAGCACAATTAGCTAGCACCTTATAAAGCTTATACTTTGTCAGGGGAAATAAATTTGAGAAATGGCATTATATGTAGAACAATGGTGACCCAAATATTGCCAAAATACATAAATGGAATAAGAAGATTATGAAAAAATGCTATAATACTATGAGATGTTGTTTGTAAATATTTTTAGGGCCAATATTACTACATTTATATTTGGTATTGTGCAAGTTTAGAAGTTTTTCAAAAATAAATGTGGTTAAATAAGAAAATATGGTATTGTTTATAAAATATTAAAAATATAAAAATATACCAAATCTTACAATAAATCTGTAACTTGGTAAGACTTGAAAACAAACTTACACAACTGAAGTTTAAGCTTTACCTGTCTTAATCATTTTTCATGTGTTCCATTTGTTAATTATCTTTTTAATAACTTCTCAAGTCCAATCAACAACATCATCATTGGCGCTTGATTGACCATGTTAAGTCCTTCACAGCAACTGACGCTGGCTTCCGTTTTTAACACCATTTAATGAATTGATGACAGACTCTTAAGTTCTGCAGACCCCGCAAATTGAAGGAATACCTTAGGGCTATGCAGACGACGACATCGTCGTCTGGGGCTTCTGTTGTCGACTGGATTGGAGATGGTTAAGAAGGGGCTGCTCATTAAAAGGCAACTCCTCTGCCATTTGGCTGTCAGTCACTCATTCAGTCACTTATTCATTCATTCGTTCGTTTGGCAGACAATTTACAAAACGCGTTCCATTCATTAGCATTCGCAGTCGTAGTTGTGGCTGTTGCTTACCTGATGGTTACCCTGGACAACTGCTTTGAATGCATCTCTCAGTTGTATTTAGTTGGCTTTGACCAGGCGCTGTTAACAAAGTGTTTAGTTTTAATTGAATTGCGTTTAAAATTAGTCAAACACGCCTACGGTTGTTATTTCTTTCCCATTTCTATATTTGTAAAGGCTTTTTAACCATAATTTGTATGGCATTCTAAGGATAGATATTTAAAGATCTTATAATTATTTAAATATTTAGTACTAAGTTTCTTTTAAAAAATTGAAAAGCTAATAATAATAATTTATTTAGTCAAAATCAAACTTATTCTTAAAAACCTGATCTGCATTTGCGGTATCCATTTACAAAATCATGCTGGTGGTCCCCCGATAATTTAATAGCCAAGAAAATTTCCTTTTCCAAGTCGTAAATTTTCGAAAAACATTTCAATTGGACTTCGGTCTGTGTGTGTGGCTCTGCGGCATTTGTTTTCATCATCATCAATATCGTCAACATCTTTTGGGACCAGATACGTATGCATCTAATAAGTGGATATATAAGGTGACACTTTTATTTCGGTCGGATTTGCTTGCATTCATGGTGATTTACGATAACGCGTTCCATTCATTTTATGCAAATTTATTAGAAATATGTTTCTTTTCATTGGTGGTCATATTTATTGGGCATTTTCTCAAATTTATATTGTTTTATTGGGCTTGCCACACAGGTTGAGTGTTTAGGGTTACCACTTCTAACCAGGCGGCCGAACATCTCTTATAGTAATCATAACCCAGGCATCTTGGATTAACAGCTTATAATTCTTCAATTAATAAATATGACACTGCCGTGCCTTAGCTTCATAAATCTCCAAGCTGGCAGAGTCAAGAGCTGTATAAAATTTCTATCAATTTTTCAGAGCAACCAAAATTTGCAATTTCAATTAGTGCAACGCCCTTTAAATCTTTCCTGCATCGCTAGTGAACTATGTCACATAAATCATAACCAACACGGATCTCAGTCTTTTGGACTGGCGTCAACTTGCTTAGCTCACTTCCTGTAAACCGAAAAAATACAGCAAAATGCGAAAATTTAAATAAATAAATTGAGTTACCACCTCGAAATGCGCTTGTCAACAAGTCTTGAGCCTGACTTTTTGGTCTGTGGTGTAAAAGTAATTGCCAGTTTGGGTCCAATTACGAAAATTTCACCATTACCTCAATTGTTCGTTCTATGCAAATGGATATTCCCCCGGCATTTATACCATAGTTCTCCGCGGATATCCCATATCTTTGCATGGATGATTGCCCCTACGATTTCTCTATTAGCCATAACCAGGGTAAATAGGCAATTGACTTGAAATTGGCAATTATTTTTTGTCTGTTTCGGAGACAGGCAAAAAGTTAAATGGTAAATAGAGAGACCCAGACAGACGTCCATATGTGAGTGCTTGTCCCTCTGCATTTTCCCCCTTTGAGCCTCTGACTTTGCCTTCAGCCTCGTGAAAAGCCCAAGCGCATTATGAATGAATAATGTATGAATGAAAATTGCATGCACGTGCCCTCGAGCTATAAAATGTTGCACTCTTCGCCGTTTTTGCTGCCGAAGTCTGCGGAGATGAAGAACTTTGGTGGAATTGAAATCGGAAAATTGTTAGCCAGGGAATTTCGTTTAAGAGCTGGGACTACAGCTGTCCTTAGAACTGATTATATTATAATAAAAGCTTCGGTCTTGATGATTCTTGATTTAATATTAATATCGAATTTCTTTAAGAAGGCTTTAAAATATATATTATTTCCTTTGCCTGATTAGAAACGGTGGGCAACCAACGAAACTGATCTGATCCGAGCCTCGAGCAGAGTTCGTCAAGTTCGTCACCTCAGTCTTTTGTTTCGCAGCGCCTCCGTTGATGTCTTCATTAGCGACGTCCAGCGATAAGCGTGTTTAATGCTGGAAATTTGTTTTTAATAACCCAGGCGAACGCTTTTAATTAATTGAGTGAAAGAGGAAAAGCCTTTTGTCACAAAATCCCATCGGCAGTAGCTAGACAGTTTAAATGCAAATCTGAGCTGCCTGTGAGTGCATCGGATCGTTAAGTCGCCTGAAGATATTCAATTTGGGCACTTTGCTGCTTCTTAAGCATTGT